GAAGAAGTTTTGTATATTTGTGTATATTGTTTTCTCAACTCTACATCTGCAATATATATACAAACACTAACAATGCAATATGATCATCATACCCTCAACTTACATAAATATTAGCAGAAGAACAATAGAACAAAATTAACCATGCTAACACTCCCCATCAAGCTAGAGTGTAGAGGTCAAACATGCCCAGCTTGACGGATAAACAATGAAACGAAGGCCGAGCCAAAGGTTTGGTGAGAATATCACCCAATTGATCTTCAGAACGAACATAGGAGTTACAAGTTGCTTGCGCAGTAAGAGATCATGAATAAAATGGCAATCAACTTCTATATGTTTGGTCCGTTCATGAAACATTGGATTATTGGCAATGAAGACTGCAACCTGATTATCACAAGACATGCTCATAGGAGTGGGAACAAAAAGCCAAAATCCCGGAGAAGAGATTAAACCCAAAGCATCTCAGAAGCTGTATGAGCCATGGCACGGTATTCCGTCACTGCGCTAGAACGAGTAACAATAGTCTGTTTCTTGCTACGCCAAGTAGCAAGATTTCCACCAACAAAGGTACAATAACATGTGGTGGAACAACATCAGTCTTATTACTAGCCTAATCAGTATCACTGAAGCCAGTGACAGACAAGGAGGAAGATGGGTGACAGAGCAAACCCCGGCCCAAAGCACTCTTCAAGTATTGCAAGATATGACATACAATCGCAAAATAGGGTTGGCGGGGAGCATGTGTAAACTGACTGACCACACCCACGGCATAAGCAATTTTTGGATGAGTGATAGTGAGATAGATTAACTTCCATGAGGCCCATTATGAGAACCATCACCATGTGAATTTATTTCCACAAATACCACTATGAGAGCCACAATTATCATAGCCAACATGAAAACCACGGTGGGAATGACCATAGTTGTTACTGTTAGAAACCACAACAGAAAGGTTGGGTAGTGGAGCCAACTGTAGTGGAGCTTTGTCCTAGTGAAGAATGCAACAAGTCAAACTAGGCATCAACAACTATTTATAAGGTTTCACTAGCAAGGATTTGATCTTTAGCGTCTTGTAAGTTTGAATCTAAGCGAGAAAGCAATGATGCAATCATAAACTTTTGCTTTTGCTTCTGTTGGATCAAGTCATTAGTAAAGGGTTTGTGTTGTAATAATTGATCCCACAAATTTTTAGTAGTGTTGTAATAAAGATCCTCTTATTTAATTCATACACTTGAGAAATATTACTTAAGCAAGAGAGTTCCCAATCTACTTAAAGGTCTCACAAAACTCAATAGTAGTTGCAATATGGAGTAAAGCCCCAAACAATTGGTTGAAAAAGTAGGCTTAAAAAATTTGAAAATACTTCAAAAACCAAAAACTTACATCGAATGGATTTAAAAGAAATTCACAAAAGCTCACCATAATTACCAGGAGGGGAAAACGAATCAGACCATGTGTTTGGCCCATCACAATGTCATCATATGATGATGACATCATCGTATGGATGATGACATCAGCATGTCTCTGTCACCTCATGATGATTTCCAGACTTCAATAACACTTACTACTGTAGGATTGGATTGCTTTGATACCAAGTGAAAAGCGTAGAGTCTAAGTAATTAAGGTAGGGTTAGAAGGTACAGAAAAGAAGAAGAGAGGAGAATTAAACGAATAGGTTTTTGGTGTGAAATTAACTATCACGACCCCATCCATCCCAAACAAAGACAGGGTAGTGACCGGCCAGTAGCCATAGGCTACCAAAGGCCTAACCATACAATTCTATAGTACTCCTGAAGACAATTGGGGTAAAATCATTATAAATACCCGAAGTCTTTAAAATTCTTTAACCTGTTTAATCTCTCACAACATCCATTCAGAGCAAGTCCGTAGAGATGAAATGAAAACAAACTATTGCTTTATTTATTATAACTTTCACTTAGTCACAACAAAGTACAACTTAGACAAAGATTGTACATCTTATTTACCAAACTAACTATATACAGAAAGTCATTACAAAACATTTCTCCCAAAGAGAAGGAAAGGCATGTAGGTTCTTCTTCAAATCACATACACATATATACAAAGTTGTCACAATAATCTTCATTTAGTTTTGTCACCTACATATATATAGGGAGGACGGGTGAGCCAAAGCCCAATGAATAGCATTTAATCAAAAGTATAAAATATGGATATCAATATTTGTTCGATAAAAACATAGGTGAACTGAGAACTTAATGATGTAAATGATATGGCAACTCCTTTTGAAAAATATTACAAAAGAAGAGGGAAACCAAATTCAAAAGCTAATGTTGAAAAGTTTAGCCACCAACCACCAATAAAGTCCAAGCATTATCTGTATTTTGAAAATCTCATTAATGTGTATCTTTTACTTTGAATTTTGTATTCCAACTATTTGTCTTCTATTGTATTGAGATGCGTATAAATATGTAAGCTCCCGATGTATTGAGAACAACTTGAAGAAATAAGAAATCTTTGCTATATCTCTAGATGTGTGATACATCTCTTCTTGGTTGTGATTGCCCTTGAACCTAGGTGTGATTGCCTAGTTTTCATTGTTTTATCTACCATTTCACCTTATTATTTCTACTACATTTCTCTGCATAAAATCCAGCCTATTTGTCTTGTCTCTAAACTCAAATTTAAGCTCTCCAAACTCTACCTTAGAACACTAAAGCCTAGTCCCAATCTGTCCTAAACCTCCCATAAACATTCAGCCTACCTTCTCACTTTATTTAAGCCTAGTTTGGTGCTGAAAGTTTAAAGATCCTGCATCACTTAAACAGTTTGAGAACAAAATAGTCATATACATTTCATTTCAAAACTATGATAATGAACATTCGATCGGTACTAACAAATGGAATAACTGGGTTGACTCCGGTTAGACCCACCCAACCGTGGGTGGCGTGGCATTGGAGATCTCAACAGCTGCTACTGGTATATTTTCCTTCTTCTAATAGCTGGGACTAACTGATGATGCCATGTATATATTCACTTCAACATAATCATAAGATATCCATAAATTTGAGACATTTCAATATAATTGATCAAACAAAGTTTTAAGCATTCAAAATAGAAGTTCAAATTAACTTTGAAGAAATACTACTCACCTCAAGTCTTTCTAAGTGTTAGTTCCAAATTTAATCAACCTACATTATATAATGCAATGCATGTTTATCCATTTCAATAGAATTAGAGAAATTAAGTTTCATTTTTTTAAATTAACTTGTTTAAGGTGTATCAAGATTCAAACATGTCACTTAAAAATGTCTCAAAACATTTTAGGGTTAACTTGTGTGTGATTTGGGGCTGAATTAAATGAAGAAAAATAAGTTTGAAACAATTTTAGGCAATTTAAGTTGTGCTGGCAGTGCTGACATCATTTAGTAAAACAGTCATGTCCCTCCTCACTAGAAAACTCGAAATCAAGTTTCGTTTGATAGGTCAGAAATTAGACTTGTATATGTTTCGAATGATATGGGCCACACAAATTATTTATTTCCCAATTGTTACAGATTTCAGTCAAAGTTGGCCGAAAATTGCTGCCTATGCACTAATTTCCAGCAAAGAGAAGTCATTTTCAAATGGGTATGACTCTTTCATACAAACTTAGACTTGGACAAAATTTGAGTCTAATTTGTGGCCCCATATGTCTAGTTTCTAGCGGTAGTTATCTCACATCAAAATTCCACATATTTTAGGAGATATGGTCAAGAGAATGCAACCTGGTCAGATTTTCCTTCTCAAGTACTTATTCGTTTTCTAACTCAAAAGCTTAATTCAATTAAAATAAGTTTCTAAACCTAAATGCATGCATGCACCTTCATTCCCCATTTCATTTCTGAGTTTCAAAAAAAAAAAAAAAAAAAAAAAAAAAAAAAAAATCTCCAGACAAAATCAACCAATTATAAGGTTATAATTAGGTGTAGGAACATAAATATTTCCTTAATTGAAGTTAGGAACGAGTCTAAGAGTCCAAGTTTTCCCCCTTTTCTTCCTGGTCTTTTCTCTTTTTTTCTTTCTTCTTTTCTTCTCTCTGCAGAATTTACTCTCTCTCTCTCTCTCTCTCTCTCTCTTGTTTTGTTTTGTTTGTCTTTTGATTTACTTGAAGATGAGACACTTGTCTCTATATAGGTGGCAACACCAATTTAGGTGTGTACTTATCTCTACTAATTGCACCACTAACTTAATTAATCTAGATTAACACTAATTAAGCTATGTTAGTACTAATTAATGAAGTTTAGGTCACTAATCACACTTAACTTATTTAATCATGTTTAAGGTTATTTAATCTGGATTAATTACACTAATCCCACTTATTTACCACTAATCTCAATTAATTTTTCACATAATATATGAAAATGTCTAGTATATTAGACCAATACAATTAAGCACATTGATTAAGGATTAAGAGCACACATGAGAATATTAGCTTAAAAAGGAAAGTTACTAATTTTTATACCTTTAAACCTCTTCCTACCAAAGCATATTTCTAAGCATTTCAAATATCAAAGATACTAATGCAATTCAAAACACTTAAACATGGAACAAAACATGCATATGTCAAGCTATAAAATTAGAGTTGTTTCATGAACCCTCCACCTTAACACATTTATATTAAAACAATAATCTGCCAATATGAAAAGAGTACCCTCAATGTAAAATGACATAAGACTAACATGACTAGTAGTTCTTTTGATTGTCTAAGAAAAAACTTCATATATAGTTCTAGACTTTTTGGTATGATTTTGCCCCTACTGGACAAATTTTTTAGCTTTTCCCCTGACCACATTATGAAGTGAAAATTTAATAATGCATGCCATGTCAATAAATATAATTTTCTTACACTTGAAATTTAACTTGATGACTTTGGTTGTTTAAGTTCTTAGGTGATGCTGATATTTGCATACCACTTAAAATATCCAAAACAACCTACCTACTATTCTGTCTAAGAAAAGAAAACCTTTTTTCTCCCAATTACGCAGGAAGGATGTGGTGTCACTGTCGGATGGTTTACTTGCCTATGTCATACTTGTATGGGAAGAGGTTTGTTGGTCCAATCACGCCAACTGTTCTGGCTTTGAGAAAGGAACTCTATGCTGTCCCTTATCATGAAATAGATTGGAACCAAGCGCGCAACCAATGTGCGAAGGTTAGTATTCATTTTTATCAAAAGCTAAGGTTCTGTTATGTATGTTTAGCTGCTTGTTAATGTTTGTAAACATTTTGGGTGATCACCACAAGCGATAGTGTTGTAGATTGCATGGTTTTGGAAAATGAATTTACATATTGATTTCTTAGAAGTGCTTTAACTATATTCCCCAAAAAGCTTAAACTACTTGTTCTAGTTACTTAGGGATCTACACTATTCCCTAAAGCGACCTCAAAAGTTTTTTTCCCGCAATATTTTCTTTATGGTTTCTTTAGGGGTAAATTTTAAAACTACATAAATAAATAAAATGAACTAAAAATCTGAAGTGAGTGAAGAACCGTACATAGGTTATAATGCTCATAGAAATGTGTTGTTACTTGGAAAAAAATCGTAAATTTTATTGAATGTCTAATTATTAAAAAAAAATAAAAATTTACTCTAGACTAAAAGAAAGTTATTTTTGTAGTTGCTAGAATGTATTGGAAATGTTTCCTATTTCATCCTTATTTATTTTTAGTATCTTTATTTATCCCTTAAAGGGCTGCTGTAATTTTGTTAATGATCTAATATAAAAGGGGATGGGATAGGACTCATACCTCTAACTCTTTCTTTTCTCTAAACCTACATGGTATCAGAGCCTCGTTAGGAGGACTCTTATGCGAATTCCAGTCTCCTTTTCTCCACTGTAGGACTGCCCAAGGCACCCAAACCCTTGCTTGGGACAATCGGCAACCCTAACAGTGCCGTCGTCTCTCTCTCTCTCTCTCTCTCTCTGGCAATAGCTTTTGGGTATTTGACTAGTGCCTTCGTGACCTTCCAGGTGGTCGCCTAGGGCATTCGTGGCCTCCCTGGTGGTCGACTAGGGCATTCGATCCTCCGTGGCTGGTCGACTAGGGCATTTGACTCTCCTCAGGTGGTCGACTAGGGCATTCGACCCTCCCTGGCTGGTCGTCTAGCCTTTGGTTAGCTTCATGAATGTCTCTAGTTGGCTGTTGATTTGTCTCTCATCCCTGTTGGCTTTGTATAACACAAAGAGAAGTTTTTTTTCTTGTCTATAACATACGAAAAACGGTAAAAAAAAAAAATGCAGTAAAAAAAAAAAGAAATTATGAATTCTTAATTTTATGCTTTTCTAGTTACTATTGTGCTTGTTCCTCTACCATCTATCGAGTTTGTGATTGGTCCCGAGTTTGTGATTGGTCCTGAGTTTGAGGGTTACTCAGTAGAATATTCATGGCAGATTCCACTAGTGGGTCCACAACTTCTCAGCTGCCTAAGAGCGAGAGTTCCCTTATACCTTCTACTATGACCGATAATCTCAATTCTGGGCTTAAAATCACCACTTCTCTATTCAATGGTCAAAACTATCTAGCGTGGTCGTGAAGTCTGACTATTTTCTTAAAGAGCAGAGGGAAGATGGGGTATGTTGATGGCAAAATACAAGCACCTATCACCACAGACCCGAGTTATGATTAGTGGGAGATCGCCAACTCCCTCATTATAGGTTGGTTGATATATTCTATGGTCCTAGAGATTAGAGAGGGCTATCCTCTCTATGGACACTGCACAGGAGATTTGGGAAGCCATGACTACCACTTACTCCCGGAAAGGGAACTTCTCACAGGCTTTCGAGTTACGTCTCTCTATTGAACGGTTGGTATAAGGTGAGATGACTATTCTCCAGTATTTTACCTTCCTTAGTAATGGGTGGAAGAGACTTGATCACCTTTAGGATTACAAGCCTGTCTGTCCTACAGATTCTGCTGGTTACCGGACGTTTGTGACCCAAAAGAGAGTCTTCAAGTTCTTGGAAGGCCTTAATGTGGAGTATGATCCAGTTCAGAGCTGAGTCCTTGGCATGGATGTGCTTCTTTCTCTCAGGAAGCCTTTGTTTTTGTGCAAAATGAGGAGCGTTGCCGCTCTGCAATGCTTCCTTCTGCTACTACTGATCGCTCGGCCTTGGTTTCTGCTCCCCCTCGCAATGGCGACTGTGTGACTTGTGGTTCCCATCCTTCCTTTGAGGAGGATAATCTTTATTGTGACTACTGTCGTAGACCTCGCCCCACACGAAGCTTCATGGCACTCCCTTTGGTGGTCGAGGCAACCGTCCTGGTACTTGAGGGGGTCGATTTGGTCAGTCTAGAGGCCGAGGGGCCAATGCCTAGGCCCATCTTTCAGACACTGTTGAGCCACCATCTTCTTCTCCAGTTGTCTCCCCTGCTGCTGATGTTTCAGGGTTATTTGCCTCGGATTTTGAGATTGCTCTTCGTCACTTACTAGTCCGTCGAGCCTCCACTTCTACTACAGGTGCTCCCTCTGCTTCCTTTGCCAATTCAGGTAACTTGGCTTCCTCCCCATATGCATTGCTCTCGCATACGACTGTACCATGGATTATTGATTCTGGTGCTTCCGACCATATGTCTGGCTCCTCTCATTTATGTTCAGAGTATAACCCCTCCTCAGATCAGGAAAAAATGCGTATTGCTGATGGTACTATGTCGTCTGTGTCAGGAAAAGGTTTAATTCATGATACCTCTTCCCTTCCTTTGTCCTCTGTCCTCCATGTTTCAAATTTTGGTATTAATCTTTTATCTTTGAGTCGTATTACTCATGACTTAAATTGTAGCATGACCTTTTTTTTCTGATTACTGTCTTTTTTAGGACCTTATCACAAGGAAGAGGATTTGCAGTAGTAGAGAGGAGCATGGTCTCTACATTCTGGATCAGACTGACAAGTTGGCTCATTCATCTATTCAGTTACCATCCATTAAGGACAATATTTGGTTGTGGCACCGTCGCTTAGGACATCCCTCTTTTTTATTACTTAAGCATTTATTTCCTAGGGTTTCACCTATTGCAATGAGTCAAGCAAAGTGGGTTATGGGTTATGATGGCTCTAGTATTGCAGACGGATCGCCATCAAAGAGACTTGTGGGTCATGGGTTATGACCGAATAGACTCATGGGTTGTGGGTCGCAACAAGTAGTGAATGGGTGGCAAGTGAAGAGAGTGGATTAACGAAAGAGAAGATGAAGACGAGCAGAAGTCAAACATCTTCTTGAGTCGAACAAGAATCAAATAAAGATGAACTAGAGGCGTGAGGGAGGTGAAGGCCTAAAGGCTACCATTGACAGAATTGCAAAGCTTTCCGGCAAAGGTTTAGCACTAGAAATAGTACGGCTAGGCTTTGATATCATCATAGCAACGTAACCAGAATATTGTATTATTGTATATTAATCATCAATGCCAAGTACAAGTTAAATAGGCCAAAATATGAAACTCTAAAACTCTAATAACATATTTTAAGACTAAGCTACCCTCAAGTATTAAACTAAATAACATAAGATATTTCACAACTAGATGATGATTTCAAGTGAAGGATGGTAGATCTCCAAGTTGAATCCAAGAATGGTAAGAGAACTTCAAATTCCACTACTTCTAGGTTAATCTTTGTTGCTAAGAGGCAACTCTCTTAATAAGAATGAGACTTGGGTGTGGTAGAGATGGCTAAAGAAGTTTTGTTTCTAGGAGAATATACGAAGAAAAATAAAGAAAATCAAAGGGAAGGCTGAGATGTACAGTATGGCATAGGACCCTCTCATACCTTGTACATAATAAAGCAGCCATATACATATATCTCTACCTCATGATGGAAAAATCCATAGGATGATGAATGGTGGGAAATAAAAGTGATTTTGGATAGATTCACAAGCAAATAATACTGATGGTATTGTATGTCATGAGATGTTTACCATGCAAAGTAGACAAAATAATAAATATAAATGTGCCATATGTGTAAGGTGATATAGAAAAACCATGGGCCCTGTTCCTTGTGATGCTATCTTACTAATATAAATGCAATCTTTACATATTACAAGGGGAAAAGATGACAAATTTGATGTGACACTATCCATGCAAAATAAAATACAATTTTTTTATGTAGGTTGGTTGGGGTTTCCTTGATTTATTCATGTATTTATTATTTTCTTTCTTCATTCAAGCGTATATGCATCATTTTATTAAATACCATAAATCACATTCATACATGCAAGCAAGACATCATCTATACGTTAGTTAGATCATAATAAAGTCAAACTAACTATGATTAATTATTCTAGCACTCTATGTGGATCTAGTGTAACATCTTACATATTGATCAAATTCATTTGAATAATTGTAGTGAGTGATCCAGTGGTCGAGGCAACCGTCCTGGTACTTGAGGGGGTCGATTTGGTCAGTCTAGAGGCCGAGGGGCCAATGCCTAGGCCCATCTTTCAGACACTGTTGAGCCACCATCTTCTTCTCCAGTTGTCTCCCCTGCTGCTGATGTTTCAGGGTTATTTGCCTCGGATTTTGAGATTGCTCTTCGTCACTTACTAGTCCGTCGAGCCTCCACTTCTACTACAGGTGCTCCCTCTGCTTCCTTTGCCAATTCAGGTAACTTGGCTTCCTCCCCATATGCATTGCTCTCGCATACGACTGTACCATGGATTATTGATTCTGGTGCTTCCGACCATATGTCTGGCTCCTCTCATTTATGTTCAGAGTATAACCCTTCCTCAGATCAGGAAAAAGTGTGTATTGCTGATGGTACTATGTCGTCTGTGTCAGGAAAAGATTTAATTCATGCTACCTCTTCCCTTCCTTTGTCCTCTTGTCCTCTATGTTTCAAATTTTGGTGTTAATCTTTTATCTTTGAGTCGTATTACTCGTGACTTAAATTATAGCATGACGTTTTTTTCCCGATTACTGTCTTTTTCAGGACCTTATCACAAGGAAGAGGATTTGCAGTGGTAGAGAGGAGCATGGTCTCTACATTCTGGATCAGATTGACAAGTTGGCTCATTCATCTATTCAGTTACCATCCACCAAGGACGATATTTGGTTGTGGCACCGTCGCTTAGGACATCCCTCTTTTTTATTACTTAAGCATTTATTTCCTTCTGTTTTTGAGAAAAATAATGTGTCAGATTTTTAATGTGAGTCTTGTCAACTTGGAA